AAGAACTTTTACTAACAAGTGTTGGAAATTCATACGAGAAGAAAGTTGATATTTAAAAGTTTTGGAATTAATATTCAAAAGCCTGATGTTTAAGAGTTAATTTCTCAAACGGGCATCGGAACGATGGCGGACAGTGGAGCAAGTGGAAAGTGAAAGCAGAGTCAGACAGTCGGTAAAAAAAGTCTGGCAACCATCTGATCACACTCGATTGAACTGGCCAGCCTTATAAGTATTGATATCAATCGCGGATTCGACAATCGAGGGACAAAAGACACACTTTTCTCTTACAAAAGTAATATTCAATTGGATTTTTGAAACGAACAAGCATAAAAATATTTACCCTGTGCAAAAGTGTAAATACCTAGAGTTGCTTGAAACCGAAGTTCCTTGAAATTTTCACGCACAAGTATCCGTGGTCTCGTTCCTAATAGTCATCGTTATGGGATCAATTAATGCAAATACATAGTTCGCGCGTGAACTGTGTACCCTATGTCAGAGAAACCGCGAAATTTGAAACGCAGTGACCATGTGATCGAAAAAAAAAAACGCAAAACAACGTAAAGAGGAGTCGTGTCTTTGACGTGAAATTCTTCTCGCGAGCAGCCATAAACAATATTTTCGTCTCTCTCGTGTAATCTTTCAACCACATTTCCCCGTCCGTGTGCTAAATAGTTTTAGTCTACTACTCGTTCTTTTTTTTTCTTCTTCTTTTCTGTCTACCTCGTTTTTTCCCTTCTACGTTTTCCCACCTCGTTATTTATCATCTCATTTCTTGCGCCACATATTCTTCCTCTCTCAAAAAATTCCGTTAGTTCTTCAATTAAATATAATTTTTTTTTATATATATATATATATAATATGTATATATGTATATATGCGTGTGTGTATATACTCGTATATACATATATCTGTCATTTACATTTGTCGTAGAGTTAGTAATTAAATAGCGTTTATTTGCCTAACAGTGCGGTCGATTTTCGGCGTTTCCCTTTCGCGAGATGGAGAGAAAACGTAAAAAAAGAAAAAAAAAAAAAAAGAAAAATAAGAGGAAGAATGAGCGAAGAACGGCCGAGAGTCGCCGGAAATCGGATCGTAAGGCTTCGTTTCCTTCCTTATTCGGAAGGATATAATTTATTTCTTTTTCTTTATGTATATATTTATATATATATATATAATACGTGTAATATGCGTGTATGTATTCGTTTCGTCGTTCGATCTACGATTCTGTTTTTCATATATTATTTCCGCTGTTCTCTCGCTCTTCTCGCGCCGTTCGTTTTCCCTCCTTTTCTCACTCCCACCGCGTTTTTTCATTTTCTCCCGTGGAAAATTTGTTTGTTTCTTGCGAAATCGCCGGCGCGTATGCACGCGCGTTCGATCGATCGAACCTGAGAGACGCGCGTGCACACGCGAGAATTGCATCGATGTAAAAACAAAAAAAAATATCAGTGGACTCCACATTCAGTATATATACGAGTATAAAAAACACCTTGTTGTTCGTTATGTCGAAGTTAGTTTTCTTTTCTTTTTTTTTTTTTTTTTTTTCGATCGAGCGTACGTCCCTCGAAGCTTGCCACATTTCTACGACCGACCCGCACCTTTTAACCCTAGTGATTTGATCGAAATTTATAAGCTCAACTCAACTCGCGAGTGAATCGAATGAAACGAAGAGGAAACGTATTAACACATCGCTGGTATCGCATTATGTACAAATCTGAATCTCTCATGCGATATTATAAATTATGTCTGTATTATAATTATCTATGCTACGCACTATATATATATATATACGTATGTAACATTATTACGCGAAACGTTTACAAAGTATCAGAGCAAGTAGCTTGAAAAGAAATTTCTTTCCGGAGCGTGCTTGCCAATTCACTGGGAAAAAGAGAGAGAGAGAGAGAAAAAAAAAAGAAAAATATTCGAACCAACATCAAAAGGGTTAAATAATTCTATCAAGTATTCCCATTGGTCTCAGGTCGGTCTACTCGTACGATATGAATTCGTTCGATTACCACGAACGTGGAGAAATTTTACGATCGTGCAACTCGGAATATTCTGTTCCCAGGGGATCGTATAACTCCTAACCACGTTTCCCCTCTGTATGCACAGTACGTGTATAATATATGCACACATAATAGTACCAAGATCTTTACGGAACATCAACCGCGTTTCTCCCCGCGAGTATTTGCCTCAATGTCTGGGAAACGTGTCTCGCGATGGACCCGGAGCGCGTAGCCTCGTTTCTTTCACCGGCTGGTGGCTTTCGACCAGCAGCAATCGAGTTTCGGAAGACCGTGGAAATCTCGTGTTACAAACTCGAGACACTCGAGGCTAAATGGAAGGGTATTCGCGAAAGGAAACGATTTGGCTGTTGGAAAATCGTTTTGGAAGGTACTTTTAATGAATATCGAGATAGGAGAGATTTCAAAGGAAACGATTCGACTGTATAACGTTGATGCGCTGAATAATTAAAATTTAGTGATCTAGCTAGATTAATAGCTAAATTCAATTAGCTATTAATTGATTAAGTAAATCAACAGCTGAGCTAAATTAAAATTTAAAATGTATAAAAACGCGTGGTCAAGTAATTGAATAATATAAAAAAAAAAAGAATACTGCAGTATTGACCTCTTGCACTGGCAACTGGTTTGCGGACCATAACGAGTGACCGACACGATAATTCGTCGTTTTCTTTTTCCTCTGGACTCGTCGGTACGATATCACTGGATAGAAATTGTTAAGCAACAAACTTATCATTTGTCATACATTTAAATATACTTGAAACTGAGAAAATGTGGCAATTTGGGGCGAAGAATTCTCGACGCGCAAAAGGTTGAAGATGTAGATAACATTATTGCGCCAAATAATAAAAATTTAGAGATCCAGCTAGATTAACAGCTAAATTGAATTAGCTATTAATTGGTTAACTAAATTAACAGCTGAATTAAAATTTAAAATGTATAAAAACGCGTGGAGTCCCTCTCTCGGTGGTCAAGTAATCGGATAATATAAAAAAAAAGAATACTGCAGTATTGACCTCTTGCGCTGGCAACTGGTTTGCGGACCATAACGAGTGACCGACACGATAATTCGTCGTTTTCTTTTTCCTCTGGACTGGATAGAAATTGTTAAGTAACAAATCTGAATATAATATAATAGAAATTGTTAGGTATCATTTGTCATACATTTAAATATACTTGAAACTGAGAAAATGTGGCAATTTGGGGCAAAGAATTCTCGACGCGCAAGAGGTTGAAGATGCAGAGAGTTCAAGTTTGAAGATAATCTACTCAAATGTTAAGCGATCGTTTCGTGACTAGCTTTTTTCATGGAAGTCTAAGCGAACAGAGAGAGAAAGAGAGAGAGAGAGAGAGAGAGAGCGAGAGAGAAAGGACGAGAAAAAGAAAAAAAGGCAGGATCAAGGAAGACCTCGTGTACTGGCACTCGATCGTGGCTAGGCTTCGAACTTCGATTTTTCGACCATTCAGCAGTTTCTCTTTCTCCAACGAGGCTAACTCTTTTCTTTTTCTTTTTTTTTTTTTTTTTTGGTCTTTCGGAAGACGAGAAACAGAATTTGTGTAGATTTGGAAGACTTTATGAAAAAAATGTTGGAAAAAGTTAGAATGTAAAAGGTGTAACTTCAATTTTTAGACTTACGAAAACTTGAATTTTTCTTTACGTATTTTATTTTATTTTATTTTTTTTTTTTACTTCTCTTTAAAATCACCTTCCCTCCCTCCTCCCTCATTTTCAACGCCCCATATTCACAAAAATCTTGCGCAAAAAATGTCAAAAAAAGCATTACAAATCTCTTTGGAATAAATTGCTTTCCCGTAGTTCGCGTGAAATCCTGCTCCAGGGGGACGCTGCGCTCGCGGCAAAAGTCAAATGAACGTTTGACAGAGTGAAGTTCAAGAGACAAGAACTCGCGTATCGGAACCTGTATTTTCGCCTGATTAAGAGTTTCGGTTGATTCAGTTCGCGCGAAAGAAGGGGGCAGGGAAGGAAATGACAAAGAACGATATCAGAGGCGTTAACGAGACAGAAAATGGAGAGGTCGAACGAAACGCGCGATTACGATCGACGATAATCGAGTCACCAAGTATAATTGGCTCCCGGCAAAGAAACAAAACGGGCCACCGGTTAATACGATTGTGATTGTTCGTTTATTGATAAATGATCAAGGCGTGCACGGGGCGCATGGAGACTTGCTCTCCAATCAACCGAAAATTACATAAACCGCACACGGACAACACGTCGCGGTCAATCCTTCGTCGAATTACGCTAAGGAAGCGAGTGAATTGCAACGTGATTGCCCGGTTCTCAAATCCGATTTCTCGCGAATGTCTCGTGTACGTCAAAATCGATTTTATATAGATCGAGAAGAGAGAAATGTATCTCGAGTGAAATCTTAAATTTAATAATCATGGCACGAACGTATCAATAACAAGAAAAAAGCTAATTATAATAAAGAAAGAACGTAATGAATTGTCTAGATTAAAATTTCTACAGCTACAAGTAAAAAAGGAATTTCCTTAAAGTAATCTAACGTGTCAAAGAAAAAAATATAATATTGCTAGATCATTCAACGAAATGAATGAAATACATCAATAGGAAATAGCTAATTATAAACGTAACTAACTAGAATTAACTAAATTAACTAAGACACAAGTTTAAGGTATAAAACATAAAATTGTTTTCTTAAAATACTCTAAAATAGCTAATATCTAAAATACTCTAAAATATACTCTAATATCTAAAATACTCTAAAATATACTCTAATATCTAAAATACTCTAAAATATACTCTAATATCTAAAATACTCTAAAATATACTCTAATATCTAAAATACTCTAAAATATACTCTAATATCTAAAATACTCTAAAATATACTCTAATATCTAAAATACTCTAAAATATCTAATATCTAAAATACTCTAAAAGAAATAATATAATATTGCTAGATATAATCGTTTGAATCGAAATGACGTAAAGATAAAAAAATGTAAAGAAAGAAAGGAAACAGTGTTTTTTAATGAAATTGCTGATAAACAACGTGTCGGATGAAATACTAATGAATCTGATCTTAGCTCGAGTAAGAGTTATCGAATCAGTCAAATCGTTCTGGGCAGGATTCCTTCGTTACAACACATCGATCTACGTCACTGATAAGGAATTTAACCGGGAGTGTAACCCTCGTGATAAGCCGGATAAACGTATTCGTGATGCATATCCAGCGACATTTCAGGTGACATGAAATTATACGCGTCTTCGGTGTAACATGTTTGTATGTCGTTGTAACATGTTTGTGTTGGATTTGTTGACAGAATGCAGCTCGTCTTACCGGCTCGATTGCTCTGGTCGATCATCGGCTGGACAATTCTACGCCTCGCGTTGATAAACCTGAAACAAACGTACCAATTAGAATTAGAGTATAATTTCAGTTAAAGAAAGATACATTCTGGTATGTATTTAATCACTTGGCAAGATCTTTCTTGGTGGACTCAGGTATTAAACTGAGTTAGCTACATGAAACTACATTATTAAAGTGTATAAAAATATCGAAGAATCGAACTGATAAAGATGGAGTTGAATTTTACTACAAATATGTATTCCATCATTATTGAACGAAAATCAGAATTTGATCAGTGGTTGATTGTTAAATTTTATATTACAGAGACAGACACGATTGCACGCGAGGGTGATCATTTTAAATTGTCCTTACCGTAAAAAAAGAAAGTAGAATTCTTAATTTCAGTATATATCGAAACTTGTAACCTACTTCCAGCCTACCTAACTGATATTTCGCGTCTAGTTTGTTAATCCTAGACAAGAGCTGCAAGTAAAGCCTACTTTCTCGTTTCTAAAAATATTCCTCCATTTATTTACCGCGTGAAACGCGAACAGTACGAAGAAAAGTAGTCACGAACGAAATACGTAACAGCGGCGGAGTGCGAATCGGCGTCTAACATCGGTCGTTTTAGGCTGCTCGGGGATATCTGCTCGGGATAGCAGCGTCGCTGGCAAGAAATCTATTCGGGTAATCAGAGATAACGACGGCAGTCAGGTAGCCAGACGTATTCATGACTCATTATGTAGATCAGTGGATCATGGGCAGCGGGCATTAGGCGATCGGCGTGATAAGGTCGAAAGCTCGGTCAGAACGCGCGTACGTACGTCGATGTATCGTTCATCTCAATTTGGCCGGGCCGGGGCGGGTACCGTCGATATTTCATCGGCGTAAGGTCGGTAATTGTCGGACGTAATTTCCGGCCGAATCGTGTATGTTAATTTGACGAAGTGGCCGAGCGAAATGCACGCCCGAAAGAGAACTACAGGTGCGCGCCGCAATAACCGGAATCGTACTGTCCCCGTTCCATCGATCACCTTCCTTACCCTCTGTTCTTCTTTCGTTTGAAAATTACTGTCTCCTTTCGTGTATTCGGACATTTTTATGGCAAACTGAAAATCACAATTGCGAGTCAAGTTTCAGAATTTTTCAAGGTTCAAATTTTTTTTCTGTGTTGAAACGATAATTTCTTCACTTCGAAGTCTTCTTTCGTCGAAAAAGAAAATTTTTAAAGAATGTGGTTCGCGGAAAGTATATTTTTGAAATTTTGTAGGAAGGATTTGCAAATAAATTCGATGACTGATCAAGGAGTCCCAACTACTTTTGTAGGTATTCGAACTGATTTTTAGAGCTGATTCGATATAATAACGCAACACGCGTAACTTTTCCCCTATGTTAGATTGATAAATACAAAAAATACGAGAACACAGTTATAATAAAAAAAATAGACACGAGACATTTTCGAACGTGGCATAAACAAAGGTGTTCTTTATAATTATAGTAATGCCTTCTTTTGTTGGAGCAAAACCAACAATTACGTTCATCGAATACATCGTAAAACGCCCTCTTGCAACCTCATTTTAAATTTTTCGGGAAACATCCTAAGGGAGCACATTCCTCTCCATCGCTTCGCGACGCCTATTATCTCTGGCTAACAACGAAGAAAAAGAGGGTGGCGTGTTGTCGGCGGAAGACGGAACCGCCAAGCGAAGGGAGGTGGTAAAAAGGAAAAGAGAGAGAGAGAGAGAAAGAGAGAGAGAGAGCAAGGATCCTCGATACGTCATTAGCCACGGTGAAGGAGCTTCCGTGCGAGCGCTTTCCAAACAATAGATCTGCGGTCTATTTCGAGTTTGGTAGAGGTCCAACCTGAGGGGTGGTTGTGCAGGCCACGAAGAGGGAAACGAAGGAGAGAGTGGGAGACGCGGCGGAGAAAGGAAGACAGGCGAAAGGGCGTACGTCAGCCGACGTCAGCGTCGCGGCGCCCTAATGGGCGCAGACGCCGGAAGTGATTGGGTTTCTGCTCGACTGACTCGAGAGCACACCCCACCCTCTCCACCTCCTTCTCCTCCTCTTCCTCCTCCTCCTCTCTCTCTCTCTCTCTCTCTCTCTCTCGTCGTGGAAAACCGTGGTTTCGATGGGTGAACACAGGGAATGAGCCAGAGAGGGAGAGGAACGCGCGGTGGCAGCTGCAGCCCCTCTTGTTTCGCGTCGCATCTTTCTTGTTCGGTCTCACGCCTGGCCGGGCTCTCCCGCTTCGGGAATCTTATGAATAATAATTACTAAACTCCAGCTCGTCGCGGCGCGAGAGCCAGTCGCGAGTGGCCGGTCCAAAACTCGAGCGGAAGCGCCATCGGAGACTTCCAGTTCGATTAGAAGCAACCGGAGAACCGTCGCTGGTTGGACGAGTGTCGATGGTAAATACGCGAAGTTGTTCATTCGAACGTTGAAATGTACGAAATTGGCGAAAGCAAGGATACATTTTTAACATAAATTTGGTTAATTTCGTACAAAGTCTGGTAACAATTTGCCACAGAACTGGCGAGGAATTCATCATTGGGAAACTCAAAGTTCGATATTTTAGACTGAGTGACAACAGAATGCAATGAAGATTCTAGAATAAAAAAAAAAAAAAAAAAACGATGAATGCGAATGTAGATAAGATAATTTCATCCCGAACTCAGAACTCTTTCTGAACTCTTTCAAACGACAAGGAGAAAAGAATCAGGAGGTTGGCACGCTGTTAAAACAAACGACAAGTGGACACGAGACACAGATCGTGGATAGAGGATGGTATACGTGGTACTTGGAACGGAGAGCCAGCGGGTGTGTAAACGCGCGGGAGGATCGTAACACCGGCTCCCCTCAAAGTCAAGGCCTTGGCTATCGTTGGATGAAAGAGTATCCCTGCTTGTATAAACCGAGGGCCCCTTTCCAGCCCCCAAATACTCCTAAACGCCTCTGGTTCCCCTTTGGCGGCGTAGGCAGCGTGTCACAGCCAGCTGACTGCTGCCGCCAACCCCCGCGTCACCCTCCTGGCAACCATCCCCGTGGCTGAAATATCGCCCGAACAATGGCGTACAGCCCCTAACCGGAGGAAGAACAGAGACGAAGCGAGAGAGAGAGAGAGAGAGAGAGAGAGAGAGAGTTAGAAAGGGAAGAGAAGCAGTGGCAACTGCCCAACCTTTCTTCTCTCTCTCTCGCTCTCTCTCTTTCCTTCTTTCGTACGTCGATGGGCGAAGGGGGTTGGAAACCGACAAAAATATCTTCGCCATCGGAAAACTTAAGCCCGCCGCACATAGAACGGACAGGATGAAATTTTACAGTCGAAGTAGCGGCTGGCAAACGGTTCTCTGTCATCCCTGGTCCCTCCAATCCGCGTCTCGTCGCGAGGGTGGTTTCGCGAATTCCCCGTTAATTCTTCGTTAGTCAGTTCTGGTAGTTTTGTTAGTCCCGATGGGATGAAGTTTCAGTTGAGGGAGGCTCTAATATTTTCAATTCACGAGAGAGATACACGACACTGACAGTGTCGTTTCGTCATTATCTGCAACTGTTTAATCTCTTAGATTCTTTTACAGATTCCTCGAATATAAATCCGAATCTCCTTCAATCTTCCACCTGCCAAAAAATGAGTTGAAATTGAGTCGTCCTTTCCAGAACTGGATATCCCTGGATATAATTTTTATTTAAAAAAAGTCGAAAGCATCTACTTTTAGAGACGAATAGAAATTCCTCGATGAAACATAAATACAGTCGGAATTTCATCACTTGCAGATGCATCGAGGAGCGTCATCGATGGTAAATTTTTATCATCGCGAGCGAGGACAATAACACCGAAGAGAGAGAGAGAGAGAGAGAGAGAGAGAGAGAGAGAGAGAGAGATAGAGAGAGAGGAAGCGCGATTAAAACGGTTTCGCTAGTATTTTCGCGGAAAAGCGTCGCGAGAGGAGATGCGCTTTTTACGGGTTCGTTATCGCGGACGGATCGTAATGGCCCGGTAAAATTATCGGTTTACGACGCGACGGATCCACAGCTCGGCGTTGAGCTCGCGACGCGAAAAAGGGAGAGGCATATTGCGTCGCGCCAACCCCCGTGGGATGACAAAACACTTTTCACCGCGCCCTCGTCGCCGCTTTCAGGATTTTAATGCAGTTTTGATTATGAAGCCGGAGGGGGGCATCTCGGTTTCGCCGCGTGAAACAAACCCCGTCACGCGAGGGGATGAAAAGCGGGCCGGGCTCTCGCCGCCTCGTCATCCTTCCGGATACGAATTTGAATTTTTCATGGAACACACTGTCTTCTCTCTCTCACTCTCTCTCTCTCTCTCTCTCTCTCTCGCTCTCTACGCATCAAAGACGCCTTAATAAATGCGTTTAACGAACCTTCCTTGATCGAGTTTATCTAAGGGATGATTTTAGTTTCTGCGGAAATTCAAATTGATAGGAGAATTGAATCTTTGTGAATGTAAAATTAGGATAAGTATTCAAATTCACAAATAGATCGGAATTATTGAACGACAAGAATGAAAGAATGAAAGAATTTATCCATCTGGAAGATTCCGGGGGATCGAAACAACAGAGTAAACAAGAAAATTTTTAACCAATGCTCGATCGAAGAATAAACGAATACGTAAATGTTTCACTTGCAAGTAGACTGCGATATTTATACAGTGAGAAAGTTTGAGGGTACAAAACTTTGCAGAATTTACATCAAAGTGTCGATCACATTGAAACGTCCAAAATTAATTTTTTTTAATTACATTTGTAAAAGTACGTCCTCGTCCGACAGTATTTCATTTCATGTTCGTAAAAAAAAAAAAAAAAAAATCGAATGAATCACTAACGCAATGTGTAATAATATGCAGATTAATCAAGCTGTCACGAGTACATAACCGCAAATCGTTCCAAGCCAATTGACAAATCGTCTATGCTCGACTATGGCCGAACAGCTTAAGTTCGTCGTTACTTTTTTATGCGTGATAAGGGAGAGAGAAAGAGAGAGAGAGAGAGAGAGAGAGAAAGAGAGGCAAGAACATATGACGACGGTTCTACGATGG